TGTACTCTTACTAACCCTCATTAATATTCTTGTTTTACTTTCAAATATTGTCGACCCACCACCTGCAATCGCCGACACCCAGCTCCATATCATATCCGCAGACCTCATCTCCTTCAATTTGACTAAATTTACTTTCCTCCCGCAGTTCCCATCCTTCCTTCGCTACCCTAACCCTAACCCTGCAACACCGATCCGCCTCTTGGCCTCCTTCTTTCCTCCTGGTGCCTTACCCTGTGAGATCCACCCCTCACCCGTCGAGCATCACTTTCACCTGTACCGAGATGTACCCAGCCAGTCCCGTCCACTGTCTCTGTGTGTTTCGCGCCAAGCGTGAGTCAGCTACAACTTGTTTGACTAGTGGTGACTCACCGACGACAGGTAACCAGGGCTGACGCTTGCTTACTTGGATCCGCTTTGTTTATTGTTAAAGTCTTACCTGATTCCTGCACCTACGTGGAAGAAATTTACATTTCTCCTGTTTTCGGCGCGCGACGTAATTATACTTACCATTATATTCCCAAACACTTACGAAATACAATTCTCTCTCTCTATCTCTCTCTATCTCTGCCTTTCTCTCTCTCTCACCTTCTCTCTGCGAGCACACACACGCACACACAAATATATATATATATATATATATATATATATATATATATATATATATATATATATATAAATGGTGTGTTTGTGTAAATCTGTGTGTGTGATAGATAGATATTAATGAGACTGGGATAGATAGATAGATAGATAGATAGACAGACAGACAGAGAGATAGATAGATATTAATGAGACTGGATAGATAGATAGATAGATAGATAGATAGATAGATAGATATTGTGTGTTTGAATAGACATTATTCATGCCTGCTATCATTGTTCTCTTACTAACCATAATTAATATTCTTGTTTTACTCTGTAATATTTGAAAGTAAAACAAAATATTCACACACACAGGCATATATATATATATATATATATATATATATATATATATGAATGATGCGATAAAGAACAAGTAGGAAGTAAGTCTCGATCTAACATGTTTCACTTTATTCAAGCTTCATCTGTTAAAAAAATGATAAATAGCGAAGAAACGTAGATATGTTGTGTTTGGCTCTTAATAAAAAAAACAGTCACTTTCTCACAGACGTGATGTGGCTTCCCTCTGCCTTTTCTACAAATATTTTCATGGCAACTGCTCTCACGAGCTGCTTTCATTGGTTCCCAAACTGCATGAATTTAAGTGTGCTACCACCTCTTCTACCCGGCATCTTCCTCTCTCGCACCTCTCGACAGTGGAAATCCCTTCCTCTTACTTGCTTCCCTGATAACTTTAATCTTAAAAAAATTAAATGTAATGTCAATCGACATCACCTGGTGTTTTGATTTTGAGACCCGTCTTTCTCTTTATTCATTCTTTTTTAAAAAAAAACAAAAAAAAAACTCCTCTTTAATCTTACTTTCACTTTCTGTAACTCCTTGCGTGCTGGTGAACTCCCGCCTTGCTTAGGGTGAAAGGCTTAAATAAATAATACGTATCGCGTAACAGATAATTTTCAAATATGTATGCGTAACATTCTGGACGCTGAAGTATATAAAAGTTAGTGAGACGCAACAGGACGTTTTTAAAAATTTTGCTTTGCTTAAGTTTTTCATTAAAAACATATCTGGTGCGTATTTTGTAGATATCTTCATTGATTTTTACGTATAAGAAAGACATGTTAGATTCATGAATATGAGTCTGTAGAAAAATGGTAAAGTAATGTAGTTTTTTAAACGTATAATTAAGGTTGGTAGTCTTGCTATGAATATATTTTCATAATATTTTCTTTTTAAAGGGTTTTTTAATAATAGATAGATAGATAGATAGACAGATATGGATGACTGAGTTAGATGGATAGATAGATATATATTAATGAGACTGGTTATATATATATATATATATATATATATATATATATATATATAGAGAGAGAGAGAGAGAGAGAGATGTTAATGAGACTGGTGAGATAGATAGATAGATAGATAGATAGATATTGCGTGTTTGAATAGACCATATTCATACCTGCTATCATTATACTCTTACTAACCTCATTAATATTCTTTTTTGACTTAAATATTTGAAAGTAAAACAACAATATTCACACATACAGAGACTTATATATATATATATATATATATATATATATATATATGATGCGATAAAGAACAAGTAGGAAATAGGCCTCAATCTAACATGTTTCACTTTATTAAAGCTTCTTTTTTTAATAAGGTTGACATTGGTGAAATTAAAGTTATGTCCCACAACGGTGTGGTGTTAGACGAGAGAGTTTGAATGTCTATCTAATCGCAAGTCTCTCCTGTGTTCCTGGGAGCGGGTTTTTAGATTACGCAATGTATCCCCGATGTACATGTTATTGCACTGTAGGCATTTGATTTTATTAACTCGGACATTTGAATTGTTTTTTTTTATTTATTTTTTATCCTGATAGTCTTGGAGATGTTGGTAACGATCCTCGTATCAGGGATGGCTAATTCATTTGCGAGTTTACTTTAAGTGTTGGAGGGTAGGATTAAGAATTTTGTGGGTTTTTTTTTTTTTGTTGTTGGAAGGATTTTTTTTTTTAGGTTTTATGGATTTTGTGAGGTCGTTTTTTTCCGTTTAAGATGAAATGGCATGCGTAGTGTAGAAGTTTGAATGTGTTCTCAATATAATCCTCTTCTTCATTATTGTATTCAGGACTACATGCCTTAAGGGTACTATGGTAAAATCTTATAATTATTCCAGATATTATTCTCCGGTTGTGGTAGGAACAGAAACTGATAAGGTCATTTTCACACATGAATTTGGAACTCTCTACCTTTCCTCGATATCCTATTAATACGTAACGATAATAAATTAGGGTTTAAAGTTTACCGAAAACCCACACAACAAAAACTACCTTCTATACAATTCTGGCGAAATGTGGTCCTTATCTTGAAAAGGATTATTCGTAATTTGGAAATTAATCGGCAGAAAATGTCTGTTGCCTTTAATGAGTTCTGTTTAAGGAACATTTGCTAACTAAATGCACACACATACACGCACATATAAATATATATCTACATCTCTCTCTCTCTATATATATATATATATATATATATATATATATAAAGGGAAGAGGTTATAGTAGTTCCAACGTGAGTGTATAATAAAATGAAGAGAGAAACCGAAGGTTTTGGTTGTAATGTGGATTTTTTGAAAAAATATTATGCTTTATTTATGGAAAATAAAGCATCATCTATTTCTTTTAAAAAGTCCACATTACAACCAAAAACGTATGAGGTTTCTCTCTGCTTTTTATTAATATATATATATATATTAAACTACAATTTTTCATGATTCTCTCAGGTACATTCATATCTGCTCGATGCGTCCGACAATTATTTTAAGACATTTTTATGAGGTCGCATACATAAATATATATATATATATATATATATATATATATATATATATATATATATATATATATATATATATATGTATGTATATGTGTATATATATATATATATATATGTATATATGTATGTATACATATATATTTATATATGTATGATTATCTCTTTATAATATATATATATATATATATATATATATATATATATATATATATACCAGGTGTAACAGCAAATCTTTAAAAATCGTTTAACAAGATAATTGGTCATCCCCCAAAATTTTTAATATCCAAAAATAAATGCTAAACTAATTGAGTTTCTTTTTTCCACGTTTTTAAGTTTTAGCCATCACTGAAAAAAACTCTTTGAGTTATTCAGCTAGTAATGGAACAGGTTAAAATCGTTTTTTGTCAGTCCCACTGTCTTCTCAACTGAGCAATGGTGAGTGGAGGAAATCATTAGGCCTTTGGAAATAATGCCAATACACTCGAATGGCCATCAAAGCAATAAAGAATTTGTGTCGTTTATTTAACATTCAAGTTAATAAAAGAACTCTGAAAAACATCCCGGAGAATGTACAAAGAAGGATGGAGTCAGATAGCAACGGGAACTTGTAAACTTTGGTTTGGTTTATTTTACGGGATATCAACCTCAATGGGTTATTTAATGCCGACAAAATTTTTATTGCTGGTAACATGTTTTTCTTCAAAAATCTATTTCTGGTAATTTTTTTTATTTTTTTTTAAGTATTTCTGATCATAATTTTTCCTTCAAAAATCATTGCTGGCCATATTTTCTTTTATTACAAAGTATTTCTGATATTAAAAGCTATTTTTACTATTTTACAAGTTTGGGTGTCAACAATTTGCCCATAGCTAGGACCCTAACAGGTGCTACCACCCAGGGTCGGGGTGGACCTGGTAAAACCAGCAATTAAGAGGTGGTTCCACGATCCTCAAAACATCCTGATCAGAGGCCTTACTATTGGACGCAGTTTATCCTCTTACCCAGGACGCGGATGTAGTTCATCGTCATACCCAGGACAGGAATTGTGTCAGGGATATGCTACAAAGCTTTACAAGTGTATTATAATATATATATATATATATATATATATATATATATATATATATTACAAGTGTATTATGATATATATATATATATAAAATATATACATATATATATACACACACACACACACACACACACATATATATATATACATATATATATATATATGAACAAAAGAAATATGAAATTTGTCACTTTATCTCATTGATTTTATTTAGCTTCCCGACTTCAGTGTTTCGTAGAACATTTTTGTAATCATTCGGTTCACTCGTCAGAAGGTTTAAGTTTATTGAGTATATATATATATATATATATATATATATATATATATATATATATATATATATATATAAAAGATATAGAAATATATATATAACCAAGTATGGGATTGGTGTATACGGAATAAATCATCACTTGATAAGACACCAGAGGTGTTGAAACAAAATGGGTATTTTTGCAGTGATTTTATAACATATTTATGTTATAATTTTC